TTACACGCCCTTCTTCGACAACACCAATGACTTTGATAAACTACAAAATGTGGCTTGGAAGGCAATAGACAGCCCCTCATCGTCTGTGAGGCATGCTGTTGCGTCGTGTATCAGCGCGGCTATAGTCAAGAACTACTCAGAAAACGCACCAGTCGACTTACCCATCCTGGGCATAACACGCCAAAAGACTGCAAAGAAGAAGAACAAAAAGTCAGTCGACGACGACGCTGACGATGTTGTCATGGAGCGCTCCGAATCTCCTGCGCCCAAGAAATCAGCTACACAGCTTTCCTTCACCATTGCAAGTCTCCTCAAACTGCTTGCCACACAGTACTGTCGTCCTCAGACTGGCAATCGCGCAAGGGCTGGCATAGCCGTATGTTACATCAAGACTATCAAAGGATTGGGCGAGCAGGTCATCGAATCGAAATATTCGGACATCGTACGAAGTCTACTTGTGGATGTTCTCAGCAACAATGTTGTCGTGCAGAACCGCTACCGAACACTCAGCTCCCGCAAGTTCGTCGCAGTCATCCTGGAAACAGTCATCGGCCGCGATTTGCTTGGTGAATCTGGACAGCTCAATGCAGCGAGGTTTCTGGTCAACGATATCCTCAAGGACTACCCCCAAGCCCTCAAGGAGCGTCCAGAGCCAACAAAGCAGACCCTGATTGGCGCCCTCAGCACGCTGTCTTCTCTGTTCAGTAGCCTTGGATCGGCTACCAACGTCATTGCTGACTCATGTCGAGACGCCCTGATCCAAGTCTTGCAACATCCAAGCTATACTGTACAAGTGACCGCTTCAGCTTGTCTCCGTTCCTTCGTTCTCGCCTGTCCACTCCAGCTGCTCCCTGCAGTTACCATATGTATGAACAGCGTCAATCGAGAACTTGGTCTCCTCGCCGGGGCACGACAATCGCCCAGAAAGTGCGTTGGCCTGGCGAATGGCCTCTCAGCTGTGCTCAGTACATCCACATCCCAACCACTTCATGGGTCCGTGGACGTAAACTCAAGAGTACTTTCACAGGCTACCTCGCTGCTGAAGTCAGCTAGCAACTCAGAGTTGAGAATAGGGTCAACACAAATACAAGTCGCATGGATTCTGATCGGAGGACTGATGACACTCGGACCGAACTTTGTCAAGATTCATCTGTCGCAACTTCTACTGTTGTGGAAGAACGCACTGCCTAAACCTCTAAACAGGGACAACATGGTGCAAAGAAACTACCTCGAGCTTTGCTTCTTGGCACATGTTCGAGAATGTGCTTTGGGCTCAATCTTGACCTTTTTAGAGTTCAACAGTCGGATACTGACGCTTGACGTGACTAAGAGATTGGCTGCAATGTTGCAAAACACTACTATGTTCTTGAATACCTTGCCGGCGAAGAAGACAACCGACGACATATCCCAACGACTGTCTCCCGCACTACAACTCCACGATTTTGACCTCATGGTCCGGAGGAGGGTGCTGCAGTGCTACACCAAACTCGTTGAGCTCAGCCCAGCAAGCAGCCATGAGGTCCTCCTCCAAACTAACCTTCTGCCTTTTGCAATTGCATCTTTCGCCGAACCTGACAACTACACCTCGAGTTCCTTCAGTACAGCAATTGCTAGCGCAGCAGGGACTTTTGAAAGCATATGGGAAGTGGCAGATAACCATGGTTTCGGCGTCACTGGTCTAGTGCGCGGGTTTGACATCAAGCCCCTCCCAGGAGAGCACGAAACAGGCACCCAACATCACTGGCTAACAAGGCACGGTCCTGAGGCAGTTATTGATCGCACACTGCTCTCTCCGATATGCGGTGCTCGAGAGCATGACTCGATATCTCTATACATAAGAATATCAGACGACAACCATGAACTTCCTGATCCTCCAGCCACCGAAGTCGTCAACGCAGCACTTCAGCTTTTCGCCATCTGTCTGCCGCTTCAAACTGCCAGAATTCAAGAAAGCATCCTCGAGCAAATGACGTCTTTCCTATCAGCAAGCAGCTTGCAGCGCGATTTCAACAGAAAGACTGCCATGATGGTCAACATCGCGTATGCAGTATTGTCTGCACTAAAGGTCGCTGTCAAGGAGACACGCTCAGCTCCTGGCAGCCTCAAGGGAGCGGCAGTTGAAAAGGTCATGCAAGATCTTCTGCATCTGTTTGTTATTCTCCCTGATCCTTTCATCCGCAATCTTGCTGGCGAGGCATTGGGACGTCTATGTAACAGTTCTGGTAACGCGCTCACTACTGCCGAAGTCAACTACCTGGTCGATCAGATTGTTGCTAACCGTGAGCCAAATGCCCGCTCTGGTTACGCTGTTGCACTAGGCTGCATACATTCCCAGCTTGGAGGCATGGCAGCTGGCTTTCATCTGAAGAACATCCTAGGGATACTCATGTCTTTAGGTAACGATCCTCACCCGGTTGTGCATTTCTGGGCTATCGACTCTTTATCTCGAGTGGCGGACTCCGCTGGTCTGTCCTTCTCCAGCTACGTCACCAGCACGCTCGGGATGTTAGCGCAGTTGTATGCCGCAGACACACACAACGAGGAGTCGGCATCTCTTGCATCCTCCAATATCGCGATTGATGTACCTACACCCGCTGTTATTGCCCGATGCGTCGACAGCACTATCAATGTGCTCGGACCAGATCTGCAAGATGCAGCGAAAGCAAGGGATCTTATTATGACACTCGTGGGACTCTTCCAGAGCGATTCAGACGATCTTATTGTCATTGAGGGCTTGCGCTGCCAGGAACACATCTCGTTGTATGCGCCAGGCTATATGGACTTTTCCGCATATGTCAAACATCTACAACGATCAGTGGAAAGTAGTTCAGCGCAGATACGAGACATGGCTATTGATGGCTTGCACAATCTCATGAGACGCGATACGGAAGAAGTTATCAGCGCTGCCGATCCCGGACTAGAGGACCAGTTGTGGCATGTGCTTGATCGAGATTCGGAACACGAAGTTGTGCGCAACATCATTCGCAACTGGCTGCATCAGACCGGATTATCAGATACAGCAACGTGGGTGCAGCGTTGTCACTCGGTACTCACGAAAACGAAGAAGGTCGAGACGCAGGACAAGATTGAGGTGAAGCCGAAAGCAGGTGCAACGGATCTGCAGGACGAGGAAGTTGCAGGCTTTGCATCTGCTTCCAATGCCCCTGGAGCTGAGCCTGGAGATGGTGCACAAGTGAGCCAAGAATTGCTCAAATGGCAAGTCCGAACATTTGGCATGGACTGCCTGAGCGAGCTTGTTGCAATGATAAGCAAAGAGGCGGCCTTCCGAGACGAGTCACCATGTGTCATGGCTTTGCAGCAAAGAGTGGCGGATGTCGTGCGCATTGCATTTTCTGCCTCTACTGCTGGCGTTGTACAACTGCGGATACGCGGTCTCAAGATCATAGATCAAGTGCTCAAGGTATGTGTGTTGCTTTTGATATCTGATGTTGTCTAACAGAGTTTAGCTATTCGGGAAAACACCCGATCCCGACTTTGCTGAGGTCACGCTTCTTGAACAATACCAGGCGCAAATAGGATCTGCACTTACCCCAGCTTTTGCAGGAGATTCATCACCGGAACTGGCAGCAGAAGCTGTTAATGTATGCGCCACCTTCATCGCGACAGGTATCGTGACGGACGTGGAGCGGATGGGTCGTATTCTCAAGCTGCTTGTTTCGGCGCTTGAGAACTTTTCCAGTATGTATCAAATGCGTGTCTTCTACACTTGTCTAACATAAACTAGGTGAATCCGAGACAGCAGCAATTGGTGACCTCAAAGGCTTGAGCTCCAATGCTCAAGTCATGGTCAAGATGGCAGTTTTCTCTGCATGGGCCGAGCTCCAAATTGCCAGCGCTGAGCAAACCTACCTAGTAGATGTCTTGAAGCCGCACATTGCCAAACTTACCCCCCTCTGGCTGGCATCGCTACGCGAATATGCTCGACTACGATTTGAGCCTGACATTTCCTCTTCGATGGGCTCTTCGTCTCTGTCTGGAAGTCTCGACACGATTTATGCAGCGCTGAACCGGGAGACGCTCCTAAAGGCATGCTTCTCCAAATCCATCCGCACACGTTTACTAACACTCTACAGTTCTATCAAGATACATGGCTCAACCTTGTTGATGCTATTGCTAGTCTCATCGACGAAGATAGTGAATTCGTCTTTGATGCGCTAGATGGCAAGACCGACTTGTCTGAGTCGACACCAAATGGCAAGGCTGATCACATCAACTACCGCGATGAGCCTGTTGCTTTCTTCTTCGTGCTCTTTGGACTCGCATTCGAGGCACTGGCAGGACGTCCGGGTGACTTACAGGCTTCCAAGGGGCAAATACTGGAGATTTTACAAGCACTGAAAAAGATTCTTCGACCTTCTGTATCTGGACAGGCAATCTACCGAGAGGTTGTCTTTTCGGAAACAATGGACATGCTCGATCGGTTGGTGCTTACCGAAGGCTTAACTGTGCAGACTGTTGTTGTGGAAATTACACGGAATCTCTGTCTTGGCCATCCGTCTGCAAGAAGGGATCAAGGGTAAGACTCTCACTAAATAGACATGGTGCGCTACTAACACTCACAGGGCAACCTCTTCCGACGAACATTTGTCGGAAGACATTGATCAGTTGTTTGAACTTACCAAGATCATGGTGCTTGTGCTTTCCGGGCTGGTCCCCGGTCTTGAAGATAGCAAAGCTACAGGTAAATCGCGCTTTTTGGCGTGGCATATACATGCTGACTTCCATTTAGCGCGCCACGAGATGAACGAGGAAGCGGTTGCACTACTCACAACAGCACTTTCCTCCCTTGTCGACGCCGCGCAAGTCTTTCCCTCAATCATCAAAGCCGACCTCCACGCCTGCATCCTGCACATCTTCGCTACCATCCTTGCCACGGGAGCATGCCAACCGACAGTCATCCCCCAAGCCCTCCCAATCTTCAAGCGCTTCATCACAAGTCTAGCCCCACACGCCGAAGCAACAGACGACACCAGCAAGCAACTCCGTGCAACCCTATCCCGCTTCCTCGCCATTCTCCGCCACGCCCAACAACGCGCCTTCGACGCCGCCCTCGCGTGCGAAAAGAACACTATCCTCGCCACCACCATCCTCCTCAGCTCCGCCGCATCCGCCTTCTCCCCCAACGACCCGCTCGTCAAACACTTTGTAGACGACCTCTTCGACTGCCTCGCCACCCCCACAACCAGCAAAGTAGCCGCAGGCTGCATCCGCTCGCTGCTTCTCCTCCCCAAGAAATCACTCCTAGAAACTAATCTCGCTAAACTCATCCTCCCGCCTACCCTGTCTTTCCTCGCCAACCCCCCGGATAAAGAAGGCATCGAGGAATCGCGGTCTACCCTCGCTTCCACGCTCGTCGCTTTTGTGTTTACACTTCAGGAACACAAACAGCGGCTTATCGCCGCTAAAATCATTATCCCCGCGCTGTTGACGCGTGTGAGGAATGAACCGCAAGCTGTGCAGGAGACGGCGGGGAGGTTACTGGAGATTGCGGGCAAGGATCAGGAGGCTTTTAGGGAGGTGGTTACGGGTATGACGGGGGAGATGAGGAGTGAGTTGGAGAAGGTGGTGAAGAGTGGGCAGGGGGGGAGGAGGGCCGAGGTTAGGGGGGAGGAGGAGGGGTTGCCGAAGATTGCGCTTAAGATGGATTTTGGGGTGTAAGGGGTGGTTAGGATGGGGGAGATGGGAGGGGATGTGGGATGTGGGAGGTGTGGGTGTTTGATAGGTGGCTTGCTTGGGAGGCGCTCGACATAGGAGATATGTTGGGCCTGAGTGATGGATGATTTGCATATTTGTGATTATGATTGCATTATGTGGGATGAGGGATGATGGATAGAGGATAGAGGTAAATATAGCAGGGTTAGGGCGATATCCCGCACATGGCAGAGACAAAATTCCAGTATATTGTTCTTTCATGGTAGCTTCATGACTGATGAAGATTTCTTAGCGATGATAGTTCCATCTGTGCTGTGCTTTGCCGTTTCTTTCCTTTTCTTTTATAGCCCTCCAAAACCTTGTTTTTAGAAGAAGAAGAAGAAGAGGAGGAGGCTGGCGAGATGTGACTCGGTACACGACATCATCACCAACATCATGAGCACCAGAGGATTCCAGAAGATGAAATGATTGATAAATTTGCCCTGTGAGCGAGAATAAAAAGCCCTGTTGCTGTTGCTGTTGCTATTCCCTACTCCTATTACACCTATCACGTATCAAACTGCACGTTTATACCCACCCACCTACTACTACTAGTCACACCGACCTCCGACCTCCCGGCTGACTGCGACGTTATGTTACAAGCTCGAATCTCTCCCCTTCTTTCCCATTCACGAATTTACAACTCCTTCCCGTGTATCAGTGCGTTCGGGGAATGCGGGATGCGCATGTGGATGTGCGCCGTCTTCCCGCTGTGAGGACAAAGGAAATGCTGTCTGTGCTTTTGGTGCGGGTGCCACGCATGTTGTGAGTCGAGGGCTTGCGACGTCGCTGGTGTTGGTAAAGAAGCTTAGAAGTTATGGTGAGTGGTTTTCTGGGTTGGGTGTTGTGGGAGCGGCGGACGCGTGGGATTAGGGGGAGTCATGGGAAGGTGCGTGCGTGTGACGTCGTTGGTGAGCTATCGTAGGGTTTGCATCAAGATGGCTCAACTGTGTCTATTGCTTTAAGCGACTATTCATTCATATGTCGTAGCTTTTATCGATGTGGTTGATCGGTGCCGGGTGCGCGTAGCTACTGTAGTTGTTAGTCATCTTCGGGTACTAAGAAAGGCGCCCTCGGTGTGTGGTATGAGGATGAGTTTTTAGTTTATGGGATTAATACGATGACTGTCAGATATGAAGCATAAACACTGGAGTCATTTCTTCGCTTGATATAGAAGAGCGGTAGTCCCGGGGGTGCGCGAAGGGAAGAGGGTCGCCTAGATGTTAGTGGTAATGGGGAAATTGAGGTGGTCTTTACTGCAGCGTTACATGTACGGTATCATTGAGCTTCCAGAAGCTCCAGGCTGTAGATTTCATTGGTTCAGCGTCATTATCTAGCTTTATTCAACTTTGTGCCGATGTAAGTAACGGGAATTATACGAGAAAAGGGATGTGGTGGGCATCCTAGAGTGGAAATGCTACGGGGAGACCTCACTGATTCCAGTTAGTTGTGGCTGAATTGTCCAATACAGGTGCGGCATAATTTCAAATGACTTAGTTCCATCTTAATGGGATTTTGAGAGCCCCTGCAAAAATGGGAGGCTAAAATGTGTATCATACGGTCCGCTATATGTGTTGGTGGCACCCAGCCAGAGAAGCCAGAGTCATTGGATTATTAAGTTGAAGAGGTTACACACATAGCACTCTACGATTTTTCAGTATGACTCAATTGAAAGCAGCAAAGAGTAACCCAATCTACAAACCAATTGACTCAATGTGATCCGAGAGAAGTGAATATGACTGAACGTGTGCACGTAGCAACAAAAGAGAAGACTCATTGACGGTAACAGAACGACACACATACTGTGAGCTAGGTTCAGTAGGTGGTGTAATCAGTGTTGTAAATGAAAGGAAGAGTCATGTATACACGTGCGTAGATGACTGGAAGCTGAACTTGGCATATTCTGAAAAGTATAAAAACCGTCGCAGATACCACTATCTTCTCTTTCCCATCACAACAATCATGCAAGATCACTAAAGCGAGCCACAAACTTCAAATCACAAACTATTATTTACGAACTACATCTATAAATCCAATTATTAAACATCTTCCATCAGAAATCATGATGTCAAGCCTGAATGACAGCCAGACCCCCACTGTCGCGTGAGTCATGGTGAAAGACCAAGACGCCTTGACCTTATTTGGGCCTGTTCTCATACCATCCGAAAATGAGGACTTGGAGTCAAAAGCCGTTGCAGAGAAAATGACAAATACAAACTCACTCTATGACAACGAAATTCCTGCATCCATGCGGGCATATATCAAAGAGCGTGCGGCCACGGCTTGCAAAGATCTTTTCCACAACCCCGAGAAAGAAGTAACAATTCCAAAGTGGTATAAGGGGGAGAACGATGATGCAGAGGAGCAGGGGGAACCTGGGCTCCTTGAGGGGGATGATGCATTCAAAGCGACACTGATACAAGATAAAGAAGGTACGGGTGCGGACATGCTGCAGGAATACGGTATGCACGGTCGACAAACCGCATTTGCTGTCTGCGTAAGAGTCGTGCCGCGTCATATGTTCAGCAACTGGGACAGGCAGCTACGCGACCACGCGAAGGCGTCAATTCGCGAGAATTGAATGGCGATTTATCGGGGAACTGAGTGGGCGAAATCGTTGTTGTATTGAGAACCGCGAAGTGCTAGCTATATGGTGCAGGGTGCTGCCTAGAGGAGGCTAACCCTTAAGTAGAAGGAGCTAGTCCTATAAGAGGAGAGCTAACTGGTGAGAAGTGAATGCATGGAGACTGGCTTGCCCGGCCGACACGATTTATCCGAGTGGAACAGATTATATGATGATGCCGCCCAAGGTCCCTACCAAATTGTTCAAGACACGCGAGGAGGCCATAGATCATGTTAAGAAGGAATACATTACACACGAAGAGAATTTCAACAGAAATCTAAGAGTCGTGGAATCTGTGTATCATGAGCTTTACGTTGAGTACCCGGCCAATGGGCAGGAATTCACAGTGGTTACTATAAGAGGATTCAATTTCAGCCAGTTTCAGAGGGAATCCTGGGAAGGATTTTAGGAAGTAGAATAGCTGTATGGTAGGATATTCCGACGTAGAGTCTTGTTGCAAAGTTCGTAGTGTATAGACATAGAATGTATACCTGCTATATAACTACACTTGGCAAGATCTATATGCGATTAAGTCGAGACAGGGCGACGCTAATTCATGTGGAAAAATGATAACCTCAGCTGTTGCAATTAACGCTCAGATCGATAGTACCTATGACACGCCCTAGAGAACTTTCAATCGCCTGATTTTGACAAGAACTTTTCCAAGCTTACTTCAACTTTTTTCCTTATGATGCGCAACAATGCTGCACTGTTTACATCAATCACTACGCGTATGATTGTATATTTATATACAAATATCTGCACATCTAGACTTCTATATATCAATAAGAATAACAAAAACCAGTCTAGCCTTTATCCACCCCCGTAGCTTTTAGCAGGCCGCGAGGGTGTGGCTGTACAAACTTGACCCAGTAATAGATTTAGCAAGTTGTGAGATGTTTTCTGTTCATCTAAAGACAATAGCCCGAAATGAATCTACGCTCACCATTCATGCATATATTCCATCCTTGGCGTACTAAACGAAAGAATCATCGATTACATGATCTATTACATGATCTCGACGAGAGCTCTACCGAGATTTTTCACTCTTACTTTATGTTTTTATTGGCTGGCTGCAAGCTCTAGCGCATTCGCCATCTTTCATGATGTAAGTCTTTAGTAAGTACTTGCATGCGGCCTCCCTCCCTCCCAGCGACATCAAAGACAACAAGTAACTAAGACGAGGCGCTGCCGTAGCAACACAAAGTTTTGGGTTCCGCACAGACGATCGATTCTACTAAATTCGTCTACTTTCGCATACTGGCGAATAGCTATACATCGGACTTTGTTTTCATTCAGTCCTACACATTAAATCACTCAAACTGCGACGTGGAGGGAACATAATTTTTGCCAGCCTGAGACGTCGACTCGCAATACCTAGTGAAGATGCACTTTGATCGTCGGCAATAAGGCGGGCGGACTATTTCCGGCGTCTATGGATTGCTTTGTTGGCTGACTTGAGACCAACAGACAGCGATGACAACCATGTGGAGACCCGTCAATTCCATCGGTTCTCTTCCAAGTCTTGGACGACTGTCACAAACCTACCGGCAACGTCTATGCGCAGAACAGAGGATTTTGTAGCGTTATAACTAAGCGAAACTTTAGTTTTCCTAGTCCTCTAAGTATATCTTTACAGCGGCATGTAGAAGATCTTCCCCTCTTTCGATCGATCTGTGTTGCCTCAATCTCCGGCTGGCGGCCCGTTTACTGTAAGCAGGAAAGTCAAGCGAACTTCTGGTTACGATGGCTGAGCCAAGAAAAAGAACCTTCTCTTGTGCTTCTAGAATCGCTCTTAGGTGCAATTTATCTGAGCACATGAATGTAGTACATTATGGCCGCTAGTATATACAACTAGTTCTTCACTATGCGCAACGCAGTCAGTTCCTAGATGGCAAGCAAATCGATCGTGATCTACATCCACACCGGTACAGGACATCAGGTCGGCGCATGAGTTGGAGTATGCTGACCGCTCAAGCCAAGCTTCCCGCCATGAACGCGCGTTCCCATGAACATGATATGTACTATGAGGCTGAAGTATCCACTGGCGACCACAGTAAACGACTCAATACCAGGGTAGCATCCTTGGCGGACCAAACTGAAGAACCATCGATTACATGATTTTGACGAGAGTTCTACAGGAAAACTCCAGTGTAACTGCAACCTCTCAAGTTCTGTTACATGTACATGCACTTGTCACCTGAGACATTTGATCTATAATGCTAACATCATGATTAATCCGAAGTAGGGACATCGCGGGGTAAATCGTACTGATTTTGAAAAGCGCATCAGATGTAAGCTTTCCTATGTGATGTCACCGCAAGCACGGGCTATGTTTGGAACCACAATGCGCTCATCCAAGAGGAAGGAACACTGAGGATCGATATACCCCACCCGTGTTGATTCGCGAAGAAGGTATGGCGATGTAAGAGTGAATAGTAACATACAAAGATGTAGAACCTCCCCATGTTCCCTTCGTTCTTTCCCCAAGCCATTCGAATTCGAACGGAGCCTTCAACAGGAAGATTTGCGCAAAGATACCTCTACACTCAAACACCATATTCGACCCGCTCTTTCATCTTTACCATGTTGCTCGTAAATTTGATCTCACTTGCCGTTTTTGCTGCTTCGGTATCTGCCAAAGCCGGCCCCTCTGGAGTTGCCTGGATATGGAGCCATAGTCGCTTCCAAGAGGGGGAAGAGGGTAACTGCCGCACAGACCAGCGTCGCGAGTGTGGAGAACAGAATGTTTGCTATGTGGTGTCGTAAGTAGTTTATCGTATCACTTTGAAACACACATTGCTAATTCGCTATCAGAAGCAGCCCCGAGGAAAGCATGCGGGCCCCTAGCAACGACCCTCCCCCTGGACAGGGGGAGAACTATGCCTGCGATACTATGAAAAGTCCGCCTTGTTCGTGCCAGACGGGTAACCGTACTGAGACGGGTGTCCAACTGAATGGGTATGTCGTTCTATGGGGAACTATCACCGCTTCCGTTATTGACACTATACAGAAACCTTTTTGGATACACTTGTTTATGCACTGTCCAGCGACCAAGCATGTATGGCCAGAAGTGAAGGCGAACTGCGGGCATATTGTCCACAATACCTGTCAGGCTTTCTTCCACTACGGAAGGCATTGTCTAGTTCAATTATTTTCGAGGGCCGAATGTTGATGGTGGGAAGAGGCGAATGTTTGCATTGGACGTGATCTAGAGGATACAAAGGCAGGGGTCAAGCGTGCAGAGATGTCAACAAGCAAGTCAAGCTGGCTTGATTCTTATCGATTGCAGATCACAGACCATTCTCTGGGACGTGCCACTGTGCACGAGCCTCTATATTGTCTGTGATCTGCAATCGATAAGAATCAAGCCAGCTTGACTTGCTTGTTGACATCTCTGCAAGCGTGACCGATTGAAGGTACCAAAACTTGCAACTGCTTAGAAGGTTGTGCTCGATAGCCGTCATAATATACTCTCAGTTCGAACTACATGCACTGCGATCGATGGGCTATGGAGCTCCCAACGTGAAGTTTGGTTTCTTGTATCAGCGAGCGACCCCGCAAAGCAGCCGTATGATATAGGCCAGGGGTTCTCTTCGATCGCAAATTTGCTGCGTCGATGTAACAGTATAATTTACACATAGAACTGTTGGGAGACATGTTCATCAATGCAGATTCACAGTTAGTCTCGTCAATACATACGATCGGGCGCAAGTTGAGGGCGCTGTGAACGCTGGAGTTTTCTTGGTCATGGAGCTACGGGAAAACTACTGATTTGTGTTCTGGTACTTTCCGCTATGGTATCTTGATACGATACCAAATTGTTGATGCGATTGGAAACCAATACTCAGCGAAAGCTTTGGGGGTGAGGTTATTGGGCGGGGCTACACAGGAGTTTCTACCTCTACCATACGACCTGATGAATGAATAAGGAGATATGAAGCTTGAACTGTGAGAGCAAGTGAGTTCTTCCCCTAACCTATGAGCTAGTATATGCACAAACTCGCCAACGTTGTTAACCTAGTGAACTCGGTGTAGTGGTCATCGAAAAGTTCATGAGTAGTCGAAACAGTCATAACGCGGATAGCCATGTAAATATCATGAATTGAACCATCGCCATTGTCTAATTTTTTTAATAGTCTATCATCTATATGCAAGAACCCATGAAATGCGACTGAGAATACACAAGACTTTTATAAAAATGTTTTCCATGAATCAAAGGTCAAAGTGTTTGGGAGAGCGGCGAAAATATGGTATCGGTGGCTTGGTAGGATCGTGGCGTTCAGATCGAGGGAAAAGGACGATGACGGGATTGGTGGTTTGTTTGGTGGGTCTCGATCTCGATCCGACGATATCGTTTCCGTGGGTAGTGGTCTGGCGTGATTCCCCCAACGCATCTGGTACTTCCGTTCTTCATTGATTTTTGAACTCAAAGCGATGTATTCGTCCCTGTCGTTGTTTCGTTAGTAGATGATTAGATGGAAGTGGCTGCTGGGTGGTCTAGAAACCAATATAAACTTACAAGTATATCTCCAAATCATTTACACTCAGCCCCCTTGTATGGGTTAGAGACCGTGCACATACACCCTTGCCTTTGTAAAAAATTAGCCATGATGCCAATCAAGATTCACAGCATAATCTTACTTTGTGTTAACCGCGACACCTCCGGTCCGTTCGCACAGAGCCTTGCATTCTGCGTCGGGCGCTAAAGTGCAGAACTGTTGCATGTAGAAACCATTCTTTACGCAACCAATTTTAAATTCCGACGGCAGGCCTCGCTGACATTTTTCTAATGCCGATGCACAGCATTCTTGATTAAACCATGGGTTGAGAGGGCTGGTGATGGAGTAATCTTGGCAATGTGCCAAGCTCATAAGCGCAAACACCAGAAGGGACCGTGGGTTCATGATTGATAACATATTTGTGATAGCTACACAATTGTAGGTAGAGAATAAGATAATGGTGTGGAAGGGGATAGTGTAGGAGAAAAGTGTGAGAAAAAGCTGGAGGCGTAACGTGCATCTTAAAATAGCCCATGTGTTGTGTTGGAGAGCACGGTTGTTCAATTTCTCAGGTAGTGCTGACATTGTCAAACGCAAATGTTATTTTTAACTAAAGTTTATACTATAATTAACTTTGGAATCACCCAATATAAAGGAAGGAATATGAATGTTGCAGCTTACAGAAACGTCACTAGATCAACAGTCCGCCCTTGGAGACTCAGGGTTACCCACTGAGCATAAACAACCAAGTCTAAGATAACAGTTTAGCTATAATACAAGTAACAACCTTTGGATATGTTCTTGTAATTGCTTGCGAATTGCCCTGTTGCTTGGCATGTCAGGCGGCATTTCTCGCTAGGTGCCCAAACGCAGCGGTTTGTTTTATCGATTGGTATGTGGATGCAACCTAGTTTACCCTGTTTTCGGCAAGCGTCGATTCGCCATTGACAGCAGAAGATATTCTGCTCCGAGGGTCCTATTTTAGTTCGTTGAGCGGACACTGCGGAGCCAATAAAGCTTATGGCCGCAAGTAGGATCAGAAATCGTGACATGATGACTGATACGATGTCTGTGGTAGTTGTGCAATGAATGTTCGAGAAGGAGAGGATATGGTAGGAGGACAGAAGGGAAAGCTGGAAGGGCAATGTGGATACTTGGAAGGGCAATGTGGATACTTGGAAGGGCAATGTGGATACTTGGAAAGGCAATGTGGATACTTAGAAGGGCAATGTGGATACTTAGAAGAGCCCAGGCACACGTGTCGTGTTCGGAAGCATCGGAAGTTCAATTCCAGGTAAGTGCTGACATGGTCACAGCACACGATGGTGGATAAGGTGCCTGTGCACCATCAGAACGATATGATAGGGGAAAAAACAAGCAGGTCATGGCACATGGGCGCGATTTGTAGCATCAAGGAAAGATAGCCGGCCTACAGGGTTGATCAGATCCCCAGAATACTCAGGGCCAGAATGCAGCCACTCAAGAAGGAAACAATAGATACTTATCCGCATTCGTGAGCCTGTTCTCAAACGCTTCGGCCCGCTTTCCACGAGCCGCTGAAGACCCTCCAGTATTCGACTCCAGTACTATGGTACAGTCGATCCGAGGATCCCAAAACTATCAGATCCAAAAGACTTTGAAAGATTACAACACGTCGCAAATTTTCTATTGAAGAGAATCTCTAGTCTACAACTCCTAGTCCATTAGTGTTATGTCTTAGTTTCATTTGGTTCTACATGCACAAATAATGATATCTTGGGTTGATTCTTGATTTAATTCTTCACTACCCCTTCTAGCAAGAGGCGGTTAATGCAAGGAAAAACACTGCTCGGTCACTGTACGACACTCGGTGAATATTAGGTTCTTTTGTTACGCCATACAGTACAGCCCGAGTTGGATTAAGGAAAAAATAGTCGTTGGTTGTTGCACTGTTGTCACCAAACCCACCGGAAAGCTCCCCACCAGATGTGAACACTCACGTGAGTGGGACACGATAGTCCGACGATGCGCATTGCATTCTCGCGAGAAAGAGCATTGGTTCTCAAATTCCAGTATTCATGGTTATCGCAATCGTTGACAAGATTTGAGGGCGAGAAAGGGGAACTGTTGACTGCATCGTGCCGGCATGTCCCGTTCGAGCATTCACATTTCCTAGGAGCCAAGCCTCGTAGCCATTAACCGTTATTTCTTGCGCGATTCTTGTGTTTGACTCTGTTGTTCGTCTTGGTTCTTGTTTGGTCAAAAGATGAATCTAGGCCGTGCGCCCTTTCTTCCATCACAGCGGGCAGGTGCCAACGATACTCACCGCATCGCGATGGCATGCTTTACCGCAACACCACGTTTTTGCGCCGACATCGCTCATTCAGGGCGCTAGTCGACTCTGCTTCTGAAAGAAAATTTCAACGACATCCCTCAACGCTCTTACCTTGTCCATAATCCAGTCACTTCCTGCCTTATCCACGACTGAAACCTAACCAGCTGCTACCCATCACTGTTCTCTATCACAATGACGTTCCAGAAGTCCCTCCTCCTTGCCGCCTTCCTTATTGGAATGGTGTTTGCTGCACCTCGCCCTCACATCGGCATGATTGACAACGAAGTCGCTCGCGATGTCGGCGTCGTCTTCACACAACCTCACTTCCAATCGCCGGCGACATTCCTCTTGCTTGACAAGGTCAGCCCGCAGTGCATGCCGCTGTACGTCTCTTTCTTGAACTCACAAGCCCACGCACTTACATGATTCAGTGCCGCCATCAAAGTCATGTCTGTCCAGGTATGCGTCGAAGCTGTCAACTGCGACTTCTACAGGGTACGAATATCTGGGCTACACGGACAAAACCCCACCTGGTCAATTGACTGACTGATGGTAGGGCATTGGCTGCGGTATCGGCTCTGGTGAAAAGCCCGTCTTCACTGTCGGTTGCGGCGACGTCGCAGAGGTTCCTTCCAGCTTGATCGACGTCTACAGGTCGTACAAGTGCCAGCTTGCGTCCAACCATGCCATCGATGGGCATGCTACGGTTGAGGTCCCGACCACACCTCACGATCCTGACCAGGATGTCGTCCCTAGCATGCAAGTATGCACATACCCGTCTTACCCCATGATCGTTCTCATGCTAACGATCTGAAGTAGCGCATGCCTTCCTCCGTCTCGGCGGAGTCGTGATTTTCTTGGTCTCCCTGCTCGCTGGTATCTTGAAAAAGCTAATAGGCGAGTCTGTGGGGTGCTTGGTGATGATGACGAAAAGAGCAAATGCTCGACATGAGAGAAATGTATGAATTAGCTATCGCAACGGTAATGACCGATCTGCTAATGACCTTGTCCACTTCGGCATGTGATGCGTGCTTGCTGTCGTCATATGACATGAGGCAGCTTTGCGACAGTCGCTCTACATAATCTCTCCACCTGATACAATAACTTTGATCGGGTCATTGACTCGAGCTCAGTCCGGTATATCTGTGTTGAGAATCCAGACTCCATTCTTCACGAGGATATGCAAACCGCGGTTCATCTCAAATTGCGCGCATATGCCGTGCAACCTATCCGTACGCAAAAACGTGGGCTAGTGCACGTCACACAACATACCGCGCATGCATGCTGCAAAGCACGAAGAACACAACAAGAAATTGCAAACTCAATTTCCTGATAAGTCAACTCACTTCCGGAATTATCAGTTTCTGTTGCCGCGATGCCACACACCAATTTGAGCATTGTCACACCTTCGACCTCTTCCCCATCAACGGCATCTGCACATTCTCGTTTATCTGCACCCTTGGGCCGAGCACCTCGCTTGTCTGCGCCCTCTTGGGCGTATCGCCAATCTTCTCCCACATGAGCTGCAGCTGCACATGACCTGGTGTAATACCCATTTGCTCGGAGCCCCAGTGGAATTGCCACAACGAGAGGGCTTCGTTGTCTTTGGGCGCGCGTTTAGCATCGTAGTAACAAGCAATATCCCCCGAGCAGAGGAAAACATATGGGAAACCAGTCTAGAAAGCGCATTAGCCATCATCACCCCCATATGAGCAAGAGAAAAGCGGCGACCTACAATCGTATACAACTGATCATAGATATCCGTCCTGTGCTCCCCGCAACTCCAGGCCAAATCCCCCTTGCCATACCGACTATCCGTATTCTTCTCCGCTTTTTCATTTTCAAACGTGCAGTTGCCCATCGCCGTGCTGAGTGTATATGGGAACGATGACATTCGCTCGAAGACGGCACAGTCTTTACTGTCGGTGATGAGCTTGCCGTGGACGTCTAGACAGCCCACGCTTGATTTTGGTGACGCGGTCTGCCAATCATCAGAGGCTAGTACGCGGATACGGCCGATGCCGCTGAAATCTGTTTGTTGGACGCCTGCATTCGCGGACAAGGTGAGTGTGGCGATGAGGAGGAAAAGCGTGGTTGGCAGGTTGGCCAGCATCGTGAGTGATGTAGGTATCTTGGGGTCCGAAAGATTAAATGTCAGAACATCAACCAGAGCAGTTCATCCGAAAAACGCAGCGCAGTACCCAACCTCTTTATATCATCATACGTTGCACATGTCCACCGCAGCCAGCGTGCCACCGTGCACGCACGCACGCACCGCCCAAAAAATGTCCCGCAGGGCGTCCCTTAGTTACCAACCATCCAGGCCACAAAAGCCGAGCTCGTCCTGCTTTCCAAACCTAGACGCGCGATAGGCCAGGTTTCTCACAAAGGCAATTTCGGAACCCCTCCCTCTCTCCTGGGTGTACGTACGCGCGGTATCCGCTACCCACCCCCGTCATCCAACTTCTTAATCCCTCAGCCATCACTATCGAAAAGGGCACAAACGTGACCAGAGCACTTTAATCTCAAGTCCAAGGCCTCAAGATGGGGAAGGTGGAGTCCGGAGCACATGTGACACGAGGTACATGTATCCCGGGTTAAGATACCGGTAACTAGCGCCACATGCCAGATCGGCGAATAATAAGCAACGGTGTAAAGAGAGCCAAGGTAGCAAGCGGTCAAGCTTGTTTTTAGCATAAATTGCTGGGAGACATCTGTCAGATATGTGTCAGCGGGATAATATGAAGTTGGAGAATAGGTGCAGGGCTTGGCGATGCGGTGGAGAGGAAGCGGAGTTAGGGTGTCGGTGTCGGTGTCGCTTAGGGATGCTTGCCGAGGTACTGGTAGATTGGGGGTGGAGATGGGAGGGTAGGTTTGTGCATGATGTTTTACCGTTGTTGTTGGTAGAGGTGGAGGTAGGAAATGCGGTGGTGGCTTTACCTACCAGTTCACAGGACGATGGCGTGATGGGGAGGTGTATATTGTAAACGCGCAGACCCCGGAAAAGGTTCATTTCGCGCTTCACCGTGGAGTCTTCATCTTACACAAACATCACCTCCATTTCCCATCCCTCAGCAAGCACCCGCCCACATCTTCGCAAACCAGTCCTATCAACACCCCCTCCCTCCCTACATACCCATCACAACCCCATCCGCCGAAGCAGCACCGTCGCGCTAACTAACTCACCACCGTTGATCTCCCGCACACGCATCACGTCATCCCGACTCGGGGCCAGCTTAGCGCTTCCGTGTCCGGGCACATACATTACGCACATCATACCCAGCGTCCGGGCCACGAACTGGCCCAGCAACGGAAGTGGAAGCACATTACGCGGGGCGGGGGCCTGTGTAGATCTCGTTCTACCCGCTTTTGGTGCATTCGCTTGCGCGCTGGATAGATTGGCATCGTCGTGCAAGTCGTGTAGGTACTGGAGATACTAGGGTGGGTTTTTTCGTTCACTTGCTGGGGGCGATGCTGGGTGGTAACGTGTGAGATGGTTGGCAGAGATTGTGTGGGGGAAGTACCGGTATGGTGTTGATTGCATTTTTGATGGGTTGGTTTGGTGGCTTCAACTTTTTTGGTTTGCTGGGGTGTGAACTATCTCATGGCATTCAGGTGCTAGGCGAACGACATTTTCTTTGTTTCAAATTACTCTCTTCCGAGAGCGTGGGGGTTGTACAGAGTTGCTTTAGCGCAGACATGTTGAGCGGGCGGAAAAAGAATATCGTTACGCGTCTCAACCGGCGCCACGCAAGCCACACTCTAGGCACCAGAGACTGCGCTCTTCCAACCACGTTATTGCAAGTCGGAGATGATGAAACCTTAACAATTTCCTGAAATGGAGGGATGACGTGTCCATGTATCTGAGTGATTGATATTTGAAATGTGGTGTGTGTGTGTTTGCAAGTAAGGTACAGCACTACCTGCGGGCAGTACCTTTCCGATCTCATTTGCCTAGACATCACTGTAAATTCAGAGATATGAATGTGAGACTCGTTGATCATTGAATGTAACTACTACTCTGTCGCTTCCTTCCTAGCGTGGTACCTTTACGGGGTATATCAAGTGGCCCAAAGTCCCAATATCTCAACTCCAGATTCTTCTACCAACTGCTACTTCTCTTGTGCATGTTCTGCAAGATTGAAACTGAAGTAGTTCTGTATGCGGAATGGGCCCAAGAGGAATCCTAGTTGGAATCCGCGGGCGAGATAGAGGCTGCATGGCCGAGTCGACAATTGATAGAGCTGTAACCTAGAAACTTCTCACGGAAGCAGTCCAAGCAAAGCCCTTTGAGGTCTTTACATGCTTCTTCGAGTGCGTAACATGCAATAAGCCCCATGTTTCCGATCTTGTTTACAACGCATGAATCATGTTTCAAGCTGCATCCCACTAGCTCGGGATCTTGCATAGCTCGTCCGATATATGAAAGCTGTTTGAGGGACAGGCTGTTATTAAGCGTAACGTCATGCTCGCTAAGGAACCCGAGATAGGATTGCAGCGCAGAAGATGCATTTGAACAGCGCGAAGCTAGAAGTTCCTCAAAATCTTTGCCGTACAGCTTGTTTCGTAGGGTGGTGTACGCATGCTCAGATTTACATCGCAACTCATCTAAGATAATTTAGCAATGTCCATACTGTAAACATGCCGCCACTGCGTGCGGCGTATACTCACCGATGATCTGCAGAGGGACAATGTCGAAGCCATGTGTTATGTTGCACATTTCTCCAATGTAGGTACGGCTACGGAGACAAGCCAAGGTGACCTCCTCGAACTCTTTTGGAAGATCGCAGACATATGCGACGAAGATCAATTTCTCGAATTTGTCGGCTCCAGGGTTCGCAAGTCGTTTGTGGATCCAAAGCTGAAGCCATGGGCGCACGCTCTCAGTACACCTGTACTTGTCGCAAACAACGGCAAGATCGGCGAGGGTATCAAAGGAAAGCGTATTGTTCAAGCGTGTAGTTTGCATATGGGCGATTTTGCAGAAAAGTGTCATGGCCGTCGAATCATCGTCAGGAAGCGCGATCTTCTTTGGCGAAGCAGCAGAAAGGCCTTGTCCTTCTGCAAAACTGCCGTTGAACATGGCGTCAAAGATCGGAGACGCGAGACCGAGGACGATAGAAGAGACGAGCAATGTGCCCGCCGCTGCCCCGTCCTTGCTCAGCTCAAGGAGGACGTCGCCGCGTTTTGCCAGCACTAAGTGAGCGGCTGCATGTTCCTCTGGAGATGAAGACTCTGTTAGTCGGCGCTTCTTGGCTAGGCTCGCCATCTGTGTATGCTTCTGGTCAGTATATGACTCAAAGTTTTCCACCACCTGGGTAACATGAAGTACTTGACAAGCTAGCATAAAAAGGCCACTGTAGGCGCCAGACACGCCTATAGCATGCGGAACAACGGGTTATACTTACGCTGTCGCTGTCGCTGTGGAGTATCTCGCGTTGCCTAGGTGCGGCCGAATGCTTACCGGTTCGCAGTAAAGCCCTCGTTGTGACGGGCTGCGACGGGCTGCGACGGGCTGAGTTGAGTGTTGACAATTGACAGACGAGAAAGTTAGAGTGCGGGGAAGCTTGAAAGCTGAGAAAGGCGCAAAGAAATAGTTGTAGGGTTGCGCCAAGACCTCAGCGGAGATTGCGAGGAGTGTAGGTGAAGTGAAAGTGTAGAAGCGCAATCACTTGCAATCTACACAACGACATCTGATCTGGATTACAATGCACGACGCTAAATTTACCATCTATAGGCGCTTTGATGTTCTGAGAAGCTGGAAAATGTTGAAAGTCCATCTCTTGAAGTGGAAAAAACTCAATCTTCGTCTCCATGAGAGATGAAGAATGACCAAGCGATTTTTCTACTTGCGAGGAAGCAAGCACTTAAGAGACGTGTCTAGCGCATACAACGGCATTTTTACACTGGTATGTCATGTAATTAGTGTCGACCAGGAATGTTGTGTCAATCTGCAAAGGTCGCATGTCAGGCAGGCGTATTTGTGACCTCACCTTGGAACCCTAGGGAAGGTGCCAACGACACGTACGACACGTTTGATTTCCATCCTTCCACTCTCACCTTATATGCACCCCGCTACACCTTGGTTCACGGATGTAGCTAAGATGATTCCCGGGATTCAGATAGGAGCTTCGACAATCTAGTACGTCTCATCCAGAATTGCTTCGAAATTACCTTGATGCGATTGAGAAAAAGCCGGGAAACGCGCCACCTGTCGTCGAAGCTAGGCATAACTCGACTCGCCTCATACAGAGATATCACATTCTCAGAGGCTGGAGAGCTGATAGGGGATGACTGCTAATAAGACTGGATGACAAAGCTGTGCGACTGCCCAGAGACCCGGACTTGGTCAAGGAATTCTCGTCGTTGTGGACTGAGGGAATATACTCAATTTACTCAATTTGGCAGCGACAGAACTCCACGAACGTCACCGGTTGCCTCTGCTCGATCAGGACAATGGATGCGCGTGAGGGATTTGGCAGCTTTTTGGCTTTCGGAACGCGAGCGTCGTCGGCCCCGTTTCGGCCGAGCAGATAAGAACAATCTCCAGACCATGGCCCCTTATCCCGAGCCATGTCCCGAATGCCGACCGTCCCCCTGCTTTGCAGCGAGTTTCGTCAGGGTTCAGCGGCGACAACTCGCATCCGCAGACTGCGAACTTCAACCGCTCCTGCTCCGCACCCAAGTATCCTTCTCCACTGCCGTGAAAGGTAGACGGCCGGCATCTAGATTGGTCCGCGCAATTCCACCTTGACGCCGGAATCGCGATTGTTGGCCCCCACCAGCGCTCAGCCTCGTGGTGGTGGATTACATGGCGCATCCACAGTCTTGTCTCAAGATGCCCCTCCCGATATTCGGAGTCGGGTCGGTGGTTGCAAAGTCATTTCTCTAAGGTCACAGATGGCGACGCATACCCCGCGACTATAATGGAAGACTCCATGGCGATCTGCTGCATCAACACCATTCGTACATCGTGGCTTCCGGAGTCACGAATGAAGCTATTCGGAGCTTAGCGTACATGCTGCTAACTCCCCCCCCAGCTCCCAGCCTCGATTTACGTACATATTTGCTGTATCGGGCCATATAACCACGCGCTAGTGGAGCTACCATGGTGGCCCACAACCACAGACTACGCTACGGGCTTCTCGGCGAAGCTTTGTGAGTATCAAACGGGTAAGCTGGTGGTAGAGCTCCCCTGGCGCGTATTGAAGCTCACCCGCGCCATTGGATGTGACCCCGCACCCTCAGCGATGCGAAGATATTCCAAACATGACCGTCGTACCCGCCGGTGACATCGACCAGCTGTCTAGGTGGGAACGCGGCATCACCAAGTGGGGAGGGCTGACCTGCGTGGATTGCGAGGATACCCAAGGACCAGAGGCTCAAAATAAGAAGTTTATGATGGATACCCGACAGTATTTATATGACCCCTCACAACCCCTCAGTTGTCGACACAAACAAACCTCTTTTGTGCATAAGTCTCAGTATAGACATCTCCAATACACATCTACGTCACTTCGGCCCGCAAGAGGTATACCGACCCACGCGCCCCTCTTCCCCCCTGTAACGAATGGATTACTGACCTGCGTCAGGAATACGTACTTGTCGGTTACTTGTGCCGCATTCTTATATATATCTCTCTTGAAGCCTCAATTGTTCTCTTGTCAGTTCAATATTCAAAATGGTATTTCTCCGCTCTGCTTCTCGCCTCGCGCGCCCTGCCACATCCCTCCTCAGCGCTCGCGCCGGACCACGATTGACATCGTCACTGCGACAACCGAATGCTTTCAGAACGCTGACCGCGACTGCTTCACAACAGGGCAAAGTACTTCTCGTCCTTTACGATGTAAGTCTCAGATGTACCCATGTATACGCGACACATCTGACATGTGGACCAGGGTGGCATTCATGCCGAGCAGGAGCCCCAGCTGCTTGGAACGACGGAAAACGAGCTAGGCATCAGGAAATGGATTGAGGAACAGGGTCACGAACTTGTCACGACCTCAAACAAGGAGGGTGAGAACTCAGAGTTCGACAAGCACCTCGTCGACGCAGAGGTCATCATCACCACACCGTACGTCAGAGCTACCCCGCAATGCCGCTAAGAGCCCCACAAGCACGCGCAACGGCACTAGTGCTGCAAACACGATCTGAACGAGCATGGGCTAATTCAACGATTGACAGATTCCACCCCGGTTACCTCACCGCAGAGCGTCTTGCCAAGGCGAAGAAGCTCAAGCTCGCCGTTACCGCTGGTATTGGATCTGACCACGTCGACCTCAATGCCGCCAACAAGACCAACGGCGGCATCACCGTCGCCGAGGTGACTGGCTCCAACGTCGTTTCAGTCGCCGAGCACGTGGTCATGACCATCCTGACTCTTGTCCGCAACTTTGTCCCCGCCCACGAGCAAATCGTCAAGGGCGAGTGGAACGTAGCCGAGGTGGCCAAGAACGAGTACGATCTCGAGAACAAGGTGGTCGGCACCGTGGCCGTCGGCCGCATTGGAGAGCGCGTGCTCCGCCGTCTCAAGCCCTTTGACTGCAAGGAGCTCCTCTACTTTGACTACCAGCCCCTGTCCCCCGAGAAGGAGAAGGAGATTGGCTGCCGCCGCGTAGAGAACCTCGAGGAGATGTTGGCTCAGTGCGATGTCGTCACCATCAACTGCCCACTCCACGAGAAGACACGCGGTCTCTTCAACAAGGACCTCATCTCCAAGATGAAGAAGGGCTCATGGCTGGTCAACACCGCCCGTGGTGCCATTGTCGTCAAGGAGGATGTTGCCCAGGCGCTCAAGGATGGTCACCTCCGTGGATACGGTGGTGATGTCTGGTTCCCCCAGCCCGCTCCCAAGGACCACCCGCTCCGCTACGCCCAGAACCCATGGGGCGGAGGCAACGCCATGGTTCCTCATATGTCTGGTACTTCGATCGATGCTCAGAAGGTTAGTCATGTCGACTTTTTTTGTACAAGCTTTTTACTGACTATTCCTCTAGCGATACGCCGATGGCACCAAGGCTATCCTCGACGAGTACTTCTCCGGCCGCGAGAACTACAGACCAGAAGACTTGATCGTTCACAAGGGCGACTACGCCACCAAGGCATACGGTCAGCGCAAGTAGAAGCAGTCGTTTTCTGAGGCAGCTCCTTGCACATTTTGAGCGATTTCCAGAGATTTTCCTTGTTGGTTTCAGGGCTTGGATGGGCATTTTTGGCCTGCTTATGTATATGAATATATTTATGACTTCAATTTGGTGTAGTTATGCGGTGATGGTGGAGTTGATATTCACGTGTTCTGTAAATATTGGTAACACCTGGGTGTCATATAATAGTGGACATAGTAGTGTACAGAGGTCACTGTAGTCGCTAGATACGACTGTTAGCGCTTAACTACCCACACTGTCAATTATTCTACGACACTTTGGTGCACGTGTTCTGAGATGGTATTGGTAAGCAACAGTGTACATGTATTTGCGGGGATGGTTGTGTAACCGTCTATACTAATCTATCCGCTGTCTATGTTGTGACCTGTATGACAAATCAGTGTCATCTCCCGGTGGTATTGGGTTGCGTTGCGGCGATGCAATGCGGTAAGGATAATAGTGAAATTAAAAAGCAGTGTGATGTAAAAAAAAGAGCAATACGCTCTCAACGATGCCGTGACAGAGACCTCCGTCGCTCATCCTCATGCTCGTCTTCACTGTCGTCCTTGAAGCCCTCCTCAAGATCCCGGCCTAACCGTCTCTCCTCCTCCATCATGCTTCTCCGCTGCTCCAGCGCCTCTCTCCGCCTCTCGTCAATGGGGTCAAATCCCACCATACCCTCGCCCTCCTCGTCGTCAAAGAGGTCGTCTTCGTGCTGGCCACTGCCATCCACCACGGCGCGCTGTCTCCCCCACGTGGACGGGACGAAGAGGTTGTACAGCGCATCCGAGACTTGGGTGCGCCATGAGGTAGGGAATTCGGCGGCGGCGACAGCGGCAGACATGGGCAAGTACTGGCTATAGCGACTGCGGTGGCGGCGGATAAAAGGGAGGAGGATTAGGGCTAGTAGGGCGTAGAGGATGGCGGCTAGGAAGAGTGGGATCAAGATTGTCTGAGGGAATATGTTCGTGTCAGCTACAGTCGCGGTCGGTCGGTCGGTCGGTCGCGGCTTCCCTCCCAATCCCCCAACAGAATAGAACACATGACGAGCAGCCCTCACCGCCTACCGCGACGAGAAATGCATGCCTGACAGCTGTCAGTGACTGACCTTGAGGAAGCTCGAGTGCGCAGAGCCGGCCATGACTTGGGTTGCATGTGCTAGCGAAGAGTGCGATGATGAGTGTATGATAGCGCGCGTCCGGCGTCTTATCAACAACTAGGCAGGGACGCGTGTGCGTGATGGTTAGTCCGAGTGCGAGTGAAGTCGGCAGTCGTGGGTGTTGTTGCGCCAAGTGGCTTGCGTATGCTGCGGAGCTGGCTGCGCCACAGGGAGGAGTAGTTTGCAGAAAAGAGATGGGATCTGTATGGGGAAAATGAGAGTCGCGTCCTGGCAGCATGCACATGGGCTAGGGGGGGGGGGGGGGGGGCGTTCCCACGGGGATGGGGGCCCCTAAACACTGTGCCAAGATGGAGACACCAAGAAACCTTGGGCGCACGTCTCAGGAGAAAGTCTCGGCCTATGCAGGGTGTGGTCGAGAACTGGCGTGTTCTGTGTGGTCGCAGTCGGGCAGTCGGAGTTGGGCAGTGAAACTCAAGTGGAGGCCTTCTCTTACGACTGCAACGTCTCCCTCAACTGACACTTGGACATGCGGTCACGGTAGTGGTACATGTCCCAGTCGTGGTAGTAGTCACACAGGAGGGCGCTAGCATTCGGCAACCTCCCGACTCTCTTGCATTGCAATCCCCAAACCCCCTCCCATAGGGATTCATTGCAGTTGTTGCTGCACACTCCAACCCCCGCACGCTCGTTTCAGGATTAGACATCTCGGTTGCTGTACACTTTAGCCACGGTTTCTGGTGGCGCCGCATTGAAGCAGCCGGCATCGCAGGACAGGCTCAGTCTTGTTCGCGTTGGGCGCGCGCAGCAGACGTTCCTTTTGGTAGGCATGGATGGCAAGGGTCGGCAATCCTCCGCCGGCAAGTTCTTCGGACGACGTCTGCACAAGGACAAAGAGAAGCAGGCGGGTGAGGCCAAGCACAGCACCACATCATCCATCGACAGCCCCCCCGGCAGTGCCTATGGCTCGCAGTCGTCACGTCACTCAGCTCGACACTCCATCGGCGGCGCCTCGATAGACCAGCGGCCCGTGTCCATGACTGCCGAGGGCATCTTTGCGCGCGCAGGCCCCATATCATCCATCGACTCCCCCCGAGACGACGCAAGCAATAGCGGCGAACCGCTCCCACACCACCTGAACAAGGGCGGCGGCGACTTCCACCAGTACCCCGTCTTCACCGCGCCCACGATGCCGCCCCAAGGGTACCAATCCCACCAATCCACACAGGGGCCGCCGCGCCCGCCGCCACACTCCAACGGCACCACTATTGCCTCGAGTAACCCCGGCGACCGCGGCGTCTCGATGCAGCAATGGGGTCAGCGCGGTAGCAGCAGGGACGGCAGCTACTCGTACTATGCCCCAACCGACTCGTCCAACAACACACGCGCCTCGTCCGACCAGGCGAGTCTGTACAGCAACAATTCCACGACGCGCACCAGCAACGTCTTCTACCCCCCGAACCCATCCCAGACCACAATCTCCTCGATAGGCCTCGATGCCGGCAGTCTCCTCCCCACGGCCGTCTCCACCCCACGCGACTCGCACCGCCACCTGCTGCACTACAATGCCTCGTCGCCGTCGTCGTCGACGGCCTCGTTTCCGCAAAACACGCTCAGCATCCAACGGCCGCCCGACCATATTGTTGAAAAGGAGTTCATGAACCTCATGGTGAAGCGCGGATGGAAGAGCTTACCCGAACAGGCCCGGCGCCAGATGGAGGCTTACAAGATCGATAAGAAGTGGACCCTTGTGTATCAGGACAAGCTGGCCGAGTTCAAGCACGAGGAGAAGAAGCGGCAGACGCAGCGGTTGACATATGGCGGCGGTGGTAACGGCACCCAGGACATTCTCATCCGCGCCGAAGAGGAGGGTTCGCCCGAGTGGTACGTCAAGAAGGTCATGGACAACTCCATCACCATCAAGCAAATGTCGAGTTTGGAGATTAGTCTCCGAACCCAGCCCATTGCGTGGGTCAGAGGCTTTATCGAGGCGCAGGGTCAGATTGCGCTTACGAATGTCCTGGCAAAAATCAACCGCAGGAAGGGGACCGGCCCCGCACCCCCTCCCAGTGTCATGGCCCAGAGGGCGGAAAACGACGTCGAGCGCGAATACGAAATAATAAAGTGCTTAAAGGCGCTGATGAATAACAAGTACGGTGCCGATAACGCCTTGAACTATCCCTCCATCATACAGGCTCTCTGTGGATCGTTAATATCCTCACGACTCAACACACGAAAGCTCGTCTCCGATGTCCTGACTTTCTTGTGTCATTGGGGAAACGGAAGTGGGCACGAAAAAGTGCTGCAGTCTCTCGACAACCTCAAATCACAGTATGGCGAAAGCAGCCGGTTCGACGCATGGATGCGCGTTGTTGAGGTCACGGTTGACGGCCGTGGCAAGATGGGCTCTATGGTCGGCGCCTCAGATGAAGTGCGCAGTGGAGGTATCGGCGTGGAGAACCTCCTCATGGAATATGCCATTGCGACTCTCTTCCTCATCAACATGGTGGTGGATGCGCCAGAGCGTGACCTCCAGCTCAGGATGCATGTCCGGGCCCAGTTCACCGCATGCGGTATCAAGCGCATCTTCAACAAGATGGAAGGCTTCCAGTACGATGTCATCGACAAGCAGATCGAGCACTACTTGGACAATGAAGCTGTTGATTATGAACTCTTCCTCGAAAAGGAGAACAGTTCCATGGTGGACAGCGTCGAGGGCGAGACCAAGGATCTCAATGATCCAACTCAAATCGCAGAGGCCATCATGAGCAAGATCAAGGACACTCGGGCGCAAGACTATTTCACCTCGGCCATGCAGCACTTGCTGCTTATGCGTGATACCGAAAGCGAAGATCGGTTGAGAATGTTCCAACTTGTGGATCAAATGCTGAGCTACGTGGCTATGGACCGCCGACTGCCAGACATGGATCTCAAGCAGAGTCTGAACTTTACTGTCCAGTCTTTGCTCGACAAGCTCTACACCGACTCCGAGGCCCGCCAGGTTCGCGATGAAGCGGTCGAAGCACGACAGATTGCAGACTCGGCCATTGCAGAACGTGATGAGATGAAAGCGCAGCTGGCGTTGGGTGCAGATGGCCTGGTATCGAAGCTGCAAAAGCAACTGGAAGAGCAGGAACGCATCATCGAGCTTCGTGGCAGACAAGTCGAACAGATGAAATCGGAGCTTTCGGAAATGCAACGCATCCGGGCGCAAGAACTGCAGCGCAACGAGCTGGAGACGCGTGAGCTGTACTTGATGCTTAGAGATGCTCAAGATGTCGCAGCGTCGGCGGCGAAGAAGTCTGGTAAGGACGGGCTCGCTACCACTGACCCAGCACAGATGCAGGGAATCATGGACCGCGAACGACTGATGAACCGACTGGAGATCCAACTGCAAAGAGCCAGGACACAGGCCACCCTTGAGGGCAGGACGCTGCAGATGCAACCTAGCGAGAAGCTTAGGGAACTGCGAGAAAAGATGGAGGGCGAGCCCGGCATGAACGAGCAGAGTTACGGCGGTCTTGAGCCAAGCTCGTTTGGTTCGGTGCGCGCCAAGAGTGGAGTGCCGCGCAGAAAGCCACTCCCTGGCCTCCCTGGAGAAATTGGTGAAGATATGGAAATGTCAGAATTGGATGACGATGATGTTGTTATCGAGAAGCCACGGCTCGTCCAGATGCACAAGCCCAAACTCAGCTCATCGGCAGCCAACGCGCTCATGGCAGATCTTGCTTCAAATGTCAAGCGGTATGATGACTCTGATGCGGAGGGCGAGGGTGTTACAACAGGACCATCACAACCAAGTCTCAACTCGGACTCCCCAAAGACGCCTGGTTCGACCGATGCGCCAAAAGCCAACATTCCACCACCGCCTCCGCCACCTCCTGGGGCACTGGGTTTCTCTGCGAATATACCCCCTCCACCGCCGATGCCCGGCGCGAATGGACCACCTCCTCCACCTCCTCCGCCACCGC